AGAACCTACTTAAAGTATACTTATCGAAGTTTTTTGTACATGAACTAACTTATAAGTCAGATAAATCTAAAAAAAGTAACGATGTCCGTACATCTATTGGGCTTCCTGTTGCACAAACGTGACGCTATAGATATAACACCCGTCCCGTACGTTGTAGCCCAGTATTTACTGAACGTTGTAAAGCATTTGTAATCAGATTGTACTGACCTTTGTAATAGACTAGACTACTAGTGCCCAGTCTCTATTTCTACTGTGAAAGGAACGCCTGATTAGTGAAGGAAACAATTTTTTTTTGCGAGAGCGATGTTTTTTAATCCTGGATGTAATAAAGGAAAATCAAAGTTAATTGTCGAAGACTATCAGCAATTCGTCGACGATGAAGGAAAAACGAAAGTGAAACGGGTTAGGAATACTGTGAAAATATTAGAAAGTGGTCTTCGACAAGGAAGTGATAATGATGTTGGAGATTCTACTGAACATCACGACGAGCTTGAAGATGATTGCTTTGATTTCGGAGATAGTGCACAGCCTGGTCCGTCGCATTACAAAAGGAGTAGGATAAGTGCTGTAAATCATTGGCATGAAATCAGGGAAAACCTGATCAAAATCTCATTGAAAAAAGAAGGTGAAGTGAAAAAAGAATGCCGGAAATGCAAGGCAAACTCGACTTCAGGTGCATTGAGATGTTTCGACTGTGGCATATTCCTTTTATGTGAAGAATGCTGTGTCTCCATTCACAGTAAGGAAAATATTTTCCATTGCCCAGAGATATGGAAGGTGAATTACAGCTGGACCTTTTATATTCAATGTAATTTAAAGTTAAACTGATCTTCATTTAATATATAAGGATGGAAAGTGGGAGAGCTATATTTTTGAAAAGAAGATTACAGCAATGTGTACAGCTGATTGTGAAATGGCACMMCACAACAACTTACCCCTAACTATGGTTGACGAGAAAGGTTAGGAGATTACATTTTACATGTGCATGTAATGCTCTCAATTATGCATAATAAACATCTGGCTGACATATAATACAATTTAATTTCTATTTTTAGGTAGACACCATGAAGTCCTTGTGTCACAATGTAGCTGTACATCACTAATGGAAACTTTAGTTTACCATCGATTTTGGCCAGCTACACCATGCACACCAACCATGGCYTTTTCTTTTGACCTGCTACTCAGGTTACAGGCCTTAATGTTTGAATGCCATATCTCAGTATATGACTTTGTCAAACATTTATCATTTTATAGACGTACACCATTTTCAAAGGTACCCTTAAATATTCCTATTAATAAAGATTATGAATGATTTATTTTATTATAACCATAATAATGAAATCAAGAAATTCTTTATTGTAATTATAGTTTGCATGTTTGATATAATGTGATGACATTTAAATTGCAGATTCGTAATATATATGAGCAACTACGTGACAGCTTTGAGGAATTCAGGTTAGTCCATTAATGTTATGACCATGATTTATGAAAGATTGCATGCAATAATATCATCTACATGAATTTAATTGACTTTAATTATAGTTTCAATGAAAATTGTAAATTAGGTACCATTTCAAAGCCATTGAAAGTATGCCAGTATGGAAAAATAATGACATTGAAATGAAACTTGAAAGAATCAAATGCCCTGCATGTCCTGATCCATCCAAGGTGACTTAATGTGACTTCTTTTTCATTATTTGATTACTTAATACATTCATTTATTTATCTTGAATAATTTTGAATTTATTGCAGGAAGAGGATGTTTTTTTGTCAGCCGATGCCTGTTTTGGTCTGCCGCGTAAGAGATCAGGTGGAGAAAGCTATCAAGATGCACTCTCCAGTGACTGCTACTTTCTCCACCAAAATGAAGTCGACCAATTTGTAGGCAAATATCCAAAATCAGATAGACTTACTAAAGATAGAGAAGAGGTATATAAGTTATGATATATTCATCTATAAAACTTGAGAATTCATAACATAAAACCTGAGTTTAGTTGGTGTAGGTAGTATGATTGCCCAGGTGTGAGAAGTCTTGAGAAAGACCCTCAAGACTTCTCACACCCAGACGATAA